CCTCAGGAGCAACAAAATAATGAAAAATCTCCCCAAGACACCTCTTTTCTCCTCAGAAACCCAGCAGATTAAAAAGAAAAATAATTTGAGACTTTCCCCCCTTATTCAAAATATTAAAATATAAAGTTAGAAAAGTGATCTATTTTGGTGTTTGAGATAGTCATGCTGTGCAACCCAGGCTTGCCTTGAACTCACAATCTCCTTGCCTCAGTGCTGGGACCAGAAAATTCTTACATATATAAATTATAATAAATAGAAACCCAAACATTTAGGTCCCACAGTGGTATCAGGTGGAAGTAACACACACCCACATTTGATCTACCCAAAAATGGTACATTCCCAAGATTCTACCCTGTTTATTTTCTAAGGACAGTTCGTTGTCATTTGTTGGAGTCTGGCCAGGGGTCCCTTTGAGCCTGGGTGGCTTCTGCTCCTAGATCAGGTCTTCACTTAGGGGATGCCACCTCTTCTGTAAAGGCATCCATCTTGCCAGAAAAAACAAGTCCTCTGTGGGGTCCTGGCAACTCACATGACAAAGTATGGACGTCTAGATGTGCCATTCTTCCCTGCGTACAGTGGTGGGAAATGCCAGTGCCTCTACATGCAAATGTGGACAGGAATTGCCTGTTTTACCTAGAGCAGCATCTGGCCCCCAAAGAAGCTCAACAAATATATCCAGTGTTTGCCCAACACCTACTGTGGATCTCCTAATCTTAAATCTAAGTTACTTGGAAAACCAAAACCAAACCATCTACACGGCATATATACACACTTTCCTGTCATGTTCCCCAGACGAACAACACAGTTAAGCACACGCACACGGTACGTATTACAAGTCACTTATAGGTACTTAAATTTTACCGGAGGAAATGCATGGGTTATATGCAAATGCTACACCATCTGAGCACCTGTGTGCTCTGTTGTTTTGGAATCAATTCACAGACACCAAAAACAACTGTACACTGAGTGAATCGCTGAATCTCACCTAAATACCTGGCAACACATTCGGCCACCCTGCTCATCAAAACCATCCATCACTATGCCCTGCCCGTTCTGTTTTCGAAACATCTTTGGACCATGCTTTTTCCATCTCTACAGCCAGCAAACTAGCATTTTTTTTTTCTTCCTTCATAAAACATCCTTTGTCCTATAGACCTACTCAACTCTGACTGCTCCTTCAGACCATACCACCAGCATCACCTCCTTCAGGAAGTCCTTTCTGATGAATCCCAGGCTAGGGTAGACACCAACACATACGAGAGTTTGATGACGTGAAGGATGCCAGTGCGTATCCTATGCGCCCTACTAAGTTCTAAGTCTCAAGATACTTAGACTGCACGTGAGGTGCTCAGAACAATTTTCTTGACTGGACTAATGCCTAGAAACAACAGACCCATCAGGGAACTGGATCACTTGTCTTCTATACTGACAATCCATGATTGAAATACAGATGGATGGGGCAAGATGGGATAGAAATTAGAAGCACGAGTCTTGTAACCAAGACTGTGGGGTTCAAGTCTTGCTTTTTCCCACAGCGGTTGGGCTACTGTGTGTAGGGTCCTTTAACGACCTTTTTTAATCCAAAAGCAGACAGGGTGTTTCCCCTCTTATTTATTCTTAAATTAAAAAAAAAAATGTGTCAGGGCAGGGGTGTTGCTCAATTAACAACTTGTGGGAGTCATTTCTTTCCTTTTATCACGTGGGTCCTAGGGACGAGCTCATAGCCTTTACTCACTAAGCCATCTCCCTGGCCTGACATAATTGTTTTTTAATCTTGCAGATTTTAAAGACTGTGTTTTTGAAGGCTGGGGTGTGTTGGGAAGGGCTGAGGAACACTGTCCTACAGAGACAGGTATTAGGGGGAAATGACACTGGGGCTGGAGAGCTGGAGGCAACTTAAGGCCTTTGAAACTCTGCAAAGTGTGATTCTCAAATACTCTCCAGATATTCAGTATCCTCCTTGGCCTCTCATCCCTGTCCCCCTGACCACTACCCACAAGAATGAGACTTTCCTAAACCAGCACTGACTCTGCTCACAGCCTTTCAGAACTTCTCTGTATCCCAAGGATGAAGCCCTAGTCCCTGGAATCAACCCTGCCAGGTTCTGACTTTGACACCATCCCTGTTACAGACTTCAAGCCATGGTCTGTCCTTGGACTGTGGCACTGGAGAGGGCAGGGTTTG